GGAACAGCGCGGATCCACATCGGATTCGCGCGTGATAAAATTTAAATAAAATGTTTCAAAAATTAAATCGACAAAGTACTACACTAATGATTGTCGATGACGTAATTCGTTTGCAGGAACGAACCAGGGTTCGAGACCCCATGAACATTCGAATACAGAACATATAATTATTTGGCACGCATAATATCGTAGGGAGGTTAATATATAATTCAGTTAGTTGTGTACTGTGGTTGTAGGGGTTGTAGATTGTTTATACGAATGCCTCATGTTATGTTTTCTCTCAAATATTTAAGTTTGAAACCTAATTATTGGGACTTTGGAGATTACAACTAATTAAAAACGCGCGCGCGGATCCGATATGTTAGTTAAAAAAAATCGTACTACCTGCTCACATAAGTTCGCTGGTAATCACCGAAGAGAATGCACATAATATCAACTGCGTTGATGTATCGATAACTGCTGTGTTTGGAAGTACCTTATTTCAGAGAAATCTATATAACTTAGCAACTGCGGTTGAGTAGCTGCACTTGCAGTATACATTTGTACTACACTTGCAGTATACAGTACATGGTTAGTGGTAGATCATGTTATTTCGATTTTTGTAATTTTAGGGTTCCGTACTCAAAGGGTAAAAACGGAACCCTATTGTTGTCATCTGTCTGCCTGTGTTTCCGTATATCACGGGTTTTATTTTATGAATAACTGTTGGCCTTCCAAAAACAATATGTATTATTATGGAAGTACCTATGGATTCCCCAGGGGCGTTGTTTATGTTTTACAAATACGAAAACGGAGTGAAAAATTAAATATTTCACTCATAATAATTTTGTGTTTTAATGAAAAGGCTACGTAATATGATTTGTTGTGTCCAGAGTTAAGACTCGCGCGGTATCTAGGTTATCGAACAAGTTGCATACAATAGCTCTACGGGCGTCGCGTTCCATCGCCGTACTAAGGCTACTGACTGAGTGCCTGCGACGAACGTGCGGTGGCGACAGCGATTATGGTTACTATGTTGAGAATATTTCGTACTCCCTAGTTCTATTTCTACAGGATAATTTGAAACTTGAAACTAATCAGAAAAAATATAAAATAGTAATGATTCGTAGATGCGCTGGAACTAGTAAATGATATTTAATTGTAAAAATACAAAAATAGATAAATTAGTTTTCCAATTATAACTGCTGGTGTAATTTAATAAATACAAGACTTGTTTGGAAATTGGTATTCCATTTTTTACATTTTATATTCGTTATGAATATACAGGCTGTAAAAAAAACCTATGACAAAGACTCAAACTACCCAATCTGTACACCCAAACAAGTAATATTACAAAATATTAGACGTGGGAAAAATTTGTATTTTTAAGTTAAAAAAAAATACATTTTTTTCCGGTATGCAATGTATAGCTACTGTGGCGCTACGCAAAGAATGTGCCTGTGTGTATGTGTGTGCGTGTGTTTAAGTGCGTAGATAAAAAAGTTTCTAAATAGCATTTTAAATATATTAATGTAAAAATCTTAAATAAAAAATTGTGACTTTGACCTTCAATATCTCCATAACCATAAATTTCCCAGGTATGGTTCATACTAAAAAAATGATCGTCGTAATGTGGAGAATACGTGGCTTTCGTCTTCGTTAAAGGTTTTTTTACACCCTTTATGTATATGTTTTAATATGGTAATTTATCGAGCAAACCTTCTTAGTAGCATTCTCATCTGAAATTAAGGCAGTAAAGATTTGTGTTAAAAGGAAAATTCACATCCGTATTCCCCGAGGGAGTGGATGGAGCATCGTCGAAGGCTACATAGCATATTTAAAAGGGGTTAAATTTAGTTTCCAGGTCATTGCCCAATATTCTCCAAGCACAATCTATCCTTCAGTCGACCCTTACGACTTTCAAGAAAATTAAAAGCAGTTTTTTTTTATTGCAAACCAAAACCTAATGCAGTAATTAAGATTCATATCATGTTGAAATGAAAACTATGATATTGATACTAATCATATTCCTCCTTTAACAAAACATAAGCATTATTTGTATATACTATTTCCTGTAATTTAATCTTTATAAATCTAGTTTATCATTGATTTGGAGTAAATGCTAAACAGATAGGCTTAGCAAATTCATGCGTGTCGTGACGTGAGCTATCAATTGCGGAAGATGGCGGAATAACAAAATTTATTTTAAAGATATTTCTTGCATTAATTTTTCTTGTGACTTTTTGTAAATTTTCTTTTATACAAACCTTGTCCTGACAATCCCGAACACAATCAAAAAATATTATCCAATTTCGTTCAGCCGTTCGCAAGTGATGCGTTTTTCGACGATTCATTTTTATATATGTAGATGTGAAAGTTTGTATATTTGTTATACAATCACACCAAAACTACTTAACAGATTTGGAAGAAAATTGTTACGAATATAGTTTTTGACATGGATTAAGACAAAGGATACTTCTTATCCCAGAAAATGTTAGGGATTCTTAAAAAAAACTAACGTTAACGCTGAAGAAGCCGCGGGCGGCCGCTTTTTATAATTCTCCGATTTTTCAACTTCTGCTTTTATTTATCGGGCCCGCGTCATTCTCCGCTCCTGAAACCGCTGTCGCAACCTCGAGCCGCACTCAACCGCAGTGGTCTAGTTTTCTACTTTGAATGACTTTTTGTGTAAAACGTTACTAAAGAGTATATTAATAACAATAACTCGATTGTGTTGCTGCGTTGAAAAATGGATACAATTTTTCAGCATTCATAAACATTTCGTAGCTTTCGCAAAGTCATAGGCCAACAAACAAGTATATACTGCTTGTCATCGTTTAATTCAGCGTATTGTGATAATTGATATTTTTTTTCAAGCACAAATCAAAGCGAGGGCAAAACGCGAATATCACCAGCTTCATACTTTCACAAATATCGTTACTTAAAAAACTACATATTATTATTTGTACATCGCTATGAATATTTAAGCATACTTTGAGTCTTAACTACTGTTGGGTGATAGAGCTAGACAGAGATAGAGCTAACTCTCTTATTTATTGATAACAATATTAGCCTGCGCACACGACGGACTTTTGTCCGCGTATTATGAAAAATTATCCACCAAGGACTTGTCACGGACTCAACGCACACGGCGTACGGATATTTGTTGCTCAGAAATATAGTGAAGCGCACGCTGTGGAAGCAATATTCTAAGATTACGTTGTATAGTAATTAGCATGAAGTTAAAGATAAGACGTTCTTAATGAGAACACTGGGTCCAACCCTTTAATCGGATTGATTATATTTTTTTTGTTGAAGTTTTTAATATATTTTCACAATAATATAGATTAAAACAATGTTTTACTATCTTTCTGAAAGATAATTAAATATAGTTTAAGCGTATAGCAGTAATGCAAAACAACATACTCGATTTAATGACTGAAATCAGGCTCAATAGACATGGCGCCACCAAGACCGCCAGAAACTCATCAATGTTTCGTGCTCTTGCAGTGATTAAAATTTTTCCGGGTTCTACGGGTAGAAGTATAGGGCCAGGGTAGGACGACTAGAATAAAAAGCGTCCATTGCTATAAGCACTTACTCTTTGAAGAGATATTATAATAGTACATAATGTCCTCCCATTCTACAACAACAAAAAAAATCTTCACTGAATATTTAGCACCTAAAACTTTTCGTAGTTTTTCTTACCAGTATAAAATTTATACTTCCCGTGATTTACGAGTTTTAAAAATATGATATAATAAAGGGTTCTTTCCGTTCAACCCGTTCTACATAAAAACTATCTCCGGAAATACAAAATGCGAACACATTCACTGAAAACATTTGTGTTCCTCTTTTCGCCCTATATAATTTAAGATTTACAGAGGTAAACGATAGCTCGTAGAATTCTTTCTAAGGCTATCTTACAGCGATTATACCACCATCTATATGACGATAAAACTCCAATTTACAAGGGGATCTCAATTTTGTTGCGTTAAATTTTCTGGAATAATTCGTACAGCCCCATCGCCGCTCCGAGATGGATTCTATGCAAATGGCAAATCTTTAGAGTCCGTAGATAGGTTGGAATTTCAAGAAATTCTTCATTATAATAAGTTTCGGAAGCAGGAATTAGCTTTGGTTTGTCATTGTATAATTTCTTTTTTCTTGGAAATAACTTTATAAAATTTCAAAGTTTTTTAAGTCATCGAATTGAATATTTAAAGGAAGTGATATTTCCATTTAATGTAAAAATTGTCTAAAATTTAGGTAGTTCAACAATACTTTTCAAACTTTAACTGTAACTATGATTACAAAAGACAATTTCCAAGCTTTTTGTCAACATACAACCTCATAGGTTTTGCCTTCATTATTGTTGACAAAAGACTCATTTAGAAGTGTAAACTGGAGAATAAAAATGTTGAATATTTTTTAACTTTCAATATAGTAGATGAAAAATATGATGGGCCCATCGTTGTTAAATTTTTAATTAATTCAAAAGTATAATACTGCTTTAAATATAATTATTTCTTGGTAAGTTGACACTTGAGTGACAGATCTTAAAAAGAGTATTTTATGTTAATCGGTAATATTTTAACATTTAACTACTAGATGTTTGAAACTAAAGAAAATTTGGCTAGAAAAAAATACACTCGACCCAGGTTTCAAACGGGATCGGTTCAATTTAAAATAACTTTGTTAACTCATTATATTTTAACACAAAATACTTTGTCACTGAAAGAATTTTAGAATACCGGGTCGCTTAAAGAGGCGAGTAGAAGCGCCGTGTAGTCCAGCAAAGTTATGCTATGTCCATAAAGTATTTAACTAGATATCACAACACCTGAAATTAATTTCTTTTTATCATTTGGAAGGGCGTGTGCTGGGTTTTGTATGAAAAATAAGTAACACAAACAATGAAGCCCCATTTCCATATTGAATCACGAACCACGAATTGAACCGCGGTTCAGTAGCGTATTTTATGGTATAATGTCCAACCAAAGGTTTTTTTTCTGTTACAGGTGTAGTGTTGCAACCGTAACGATGAGTGTCTACGAACCGTTTGTGACATCCATAACTAAAGATAAGTGAGAGTACCAGTTGATCAATAATGAATAAGAGGTGATAAGTGGTATCCAAAATGGCGATGGTGATTTCACAGACGACCAAAGCGGCAATCGGTGGGTTCCTCGCCCTGATGGTGTTAGGGGCAGTGCTGGTGGTAGGGGCAGCGTTTGGGTGGTTTGACCCTAAAAGGGAAGATGAAGATACACCTGCTAAAATCAGTGCAAGACTGCAAGGGCGAACTTCATTTGTTACTCATCGCGCGGTAAGTCTCAGATTTCTTAAAATACCTCTCAATTACAAATGTCAATAAACTTAGTAGTATCTAAATCACAAGTAAAATAGTTCTGATATGTAGACGGTTTAAATTTGTATGAGGGATGGTAGTGAGCTGCAGAGTAGAAGACGCTGAAAAATAATGTCAGCTGAGAATGACCGACTACTTCACACATATATGTATGGAACCGCGACCGTGTCGTTATTTATTGAGGGATGTTTCTATTAGACGGTTGTTTTTAATAAACATCATTTCGATCTACTTACAAATAAATGTCACGAATGAATGGCAAATGGAACGCACTGAAGACGAAAGTGCGGCCACCAAAGAAAAAAAAAGTTTTCGAGTGAAAAATTTTTTTAGATGAAATTAGTTTTTCACAGTTACTATGTATATATGTTATTTACTTGCACACTTTAAGAGATAAAATTTATATGTGAAATACACGATATAATTTTATAAATGTTCGGTCAACGCGACGACGCGCGATGGCGTAGGTATAAAGCCGCCAATAAAGTTGTTGGCCGAGCTTAACCCAACGCGAGCGTAGGTAAACTGATATAATAAGGCAAGTGCTACCGTCTAGACGTTTGGCAAGTTTGAAGAATACCAACGCAAGTGGACCATATAGATGAGCTTTATGGATCTGCACATATCTATTAGTTTTTATGGACGACATGAGTAAAATGTTGGCGAGCGACAGCGAGTGCCGACAAGCGACGCCATATGAGTCCTACGCATTTTTGCGCTTCCCTTTATTTGGCAGAAGCACGGGAGTAAAAACTATAACCTACACCGAAGTGTAGCGAGGGCGGGTCGCTAGTTGTATTTAATAAAGTAGGTTTTGTTATCCGGATCTCAAAAGGAAGTATCCAAAGCACTGATAATTCAATAAAAATTATATAAATTTCAAACTAATAAGACGAAGAGAAGTCTACAATAATCGTAATTATAAGTAAATACCATACAAATGTATAGTTGTAATAGATATCTTTCTTTTCAGGATAACTTGTGTATTTATTTATATATAAACACTAGCGGCCCGTCCCGGCTTCACACGGGTGTATTAAATACTATGTAAATATAATGAATCAGCATTTATATCTAGAATACAAAGAAAAATTAACAACACATAACCAAAAGGAAACAGTGGAAGAGCTTTTCACTATATAACGAAAAAACATTTTACAAAAGCTACACAAACAAATAATACGTATAAGTCACTGCTACGATCGATACACAAATGAAACCAAAAAAAAATGGCCGAAAGCTGTATATTGAGGAAGACAGGAGACCGGCTTCCTTCTCATCCCTACTCCGTGATTTTTGCTGGATGAGGATTTGTGGGGATAACTGATCGATTGATCGTTGATCGGTTATCGACCGGTGAAGGCGGAAGATCAAATTGAATTGAGAGATAAGAAGAAATTATTAAAAATAAAAATCGCGATGGTAAAATAGGGGTTCATTGTAAAGGGTTGAAAATTCAGGGTTATATGTATTTACTAATGCTGTATCATAAAAAAAAAAATCTAAAATTAAAAAAAAAAATTAGGGTTGGATTACCCTTAACATTTAGGGGGATGAAAAATATATGTTGTCCGATTCTCAGACCTACTCAATATGCACACAAAATTTCATGAGAATCGGAAAAGCTTTAAACTACTTTGTCTAAAAATTTTAAGTCAAATTTAATTCAATTCAATTCAATTTATTGCACTCATGTGGTTACATCGATGGTTACAAAATGTTTATAGTACCTAACATGAACCCTGTCAGGGTATCGCAATATACAGTACAGTTAAAGATAAAAATTACAAAAGCATCTAATTAATAAACAGTTATATAAAATCAAAAAAGCATCTAATTAATAAATACTATATAAGGAACCTAATTTGTGTCTAAAATAAATATCATCTGATTCCATTTGTTTAACAATATAACTTACTCAATTGATCTTATTAACAGTAGAAATATAATAGAAATGGAAATTCATTTATAAAATTAAATTAAATTTGTCAATAATTAAAATTAATAAATATGTCAATAAAAATAAAATAAAAAAATAAAATAATATGTCAATTAACATGATTATTATATACTAGGTTTGTATTTTAAAAAAATCGCCTTATTAGTATTATTTTGTTGTAAAGTTTTCATTATATATATTAAAAAGTATATTTAAAATCTAATAAATATATTTTCTTTTTAACTTTGTGCATTCATATATTAAATTATTATCTATTTGTAATTTAAATATTCATCCACAGAATAGAAGCATTTATCAATTAGAAATTTTTTAAGTTTTGTATTAAATGTGGTAATAGATTTTTGGTTTTTTATAGAATGTGGTAATTTATTAAATATCTTAACTGCCATGTAGTAGGGGCTATTGCTAAGCATGGTTAGTCTTGATGGGGGATGATTTAATCTATTTTTATGGCGGGTATTAATATTATGGGTTTGGTTAACTTTATTAAACGCGTTAGAATTTTTAAATACAAAACCACATATGTCGTGTATGTATATGCTTGGAAGAGTAAGTATTTTATATTTTTTAAAGAAAGGTTTGCAGCTCACTGTATTGTCTATTTGTGCAAGGATACGAATACACTTCTTCTGCATAACAAAAAGATCATGTGAATTCACACTATTACCCCACAGCATAGACCCGTACCGCAACCAGGAATAGGCATATGCATAATATGTAGAAAGAGCTGTTTCTAAGTTAGTACTCTGTTTAATTTCAAAGAGTGCGTATATAAATTTGGATAATTTAGTTTTAACATAATCAATATGACTTTTCCAGTTTAAATTACTATCTATAGTTATACCGAGTAATTTAAATGTATCTACTAATTCGATATTTATATTTTTGTAAACAACTGTAACATTTAATGGTGGGGTTTTATATGTTCTGAATTGTATAGCTTTCGTTTTCTTATAGTTTATCTCTAAATTATGGTTCTCGAGCCAAGTTGTTACAGTATCTAAAGTTTTTTCTATTAATAATAATTTAACTTAGTAACATATAAATAATTCATATATACATCCTTCTTTTATTTATTACACAACTCTCAATGTGTGAATCTGTTATTACCTACACAAATCTTACTAAATAAAAATCCATTTCTGTTACCTATATTAAAATAGAATAAAATGAGCTATTTTATCAAAGATTATGAATATTTAATAATTTTGCTGTCATGAAAGGTATCGTGTGTTCACTTCATTTAATATTTAACACAATGTTAGTCACTCTGTAATTTCAGCGAAAATATTTTTCCATAACTATGATAAGAATTCTGTTTTGAAAACACATTAAAAATTTAAACCTCGAGGTCTACTAGTCTAGATAGCTACCGAAAAGAGCACCAAAGATGTACCTTGAGGGAGCAAAATGCATAAAAATCATATGTGGCATTATTTAAAAGTTTAAGATTGTCTGAAAGCCGAATGGGTAGGTAATGTGTGTTAGTAAATGGCCTATGCGGATGTCTTTTGCACTAGTCAATAAACAGCTCGTGCATTTTATGTTTTTTTATCTCTTCCCGTTCAGTACACAGAGTTAGATCCAGCACAATAATGCAGAGCCAATTATCTTGAGCCAAACGAACTGTTGAATAATTGAACTGTGAAAATACAAATAGGAATTCGTTAGATATACCGATGACGTCTGATTCGCATTCCGGTCTCAAATTGCTTTATCGTTTCTATTACGTTCATCAGACTGTGAAACAAGCTTCAAAAAGTTTAAATGAAACACATAACAAATGGGGTTTTAGCGATTTCTCAAATGGCTTGCCATTTAATTTGTAAATTGCCATTATTATCTTTTGAACTGTCATCTTTCTACCATAGTCGTCATGAACTTCCAATACTTTTTTTATTACTGCAACTGTAAGTCATATAACGCTGACACTATGTATGTTCAGAGTTGTATTCTGTAGTTACATTTGACTAAGTTTTCAAAGATCTCACCTGACATAGTTTATTGTTCATATTATCATATAAAGCTGCTAAACATAGTTTGTAGTAAAACCTTGTTAGCTGATTAGTCTTTTGCTTATTATATAGGAATTATCTGCACTCTTGTATTTAACATGAGAGACATTTCCAATTTCAGGCTAGCTTTTATAAAAAACTCTAGAGACTCCACTGTCTACATAGTATTACAAGTTTGTGTTTCAGATATTGCACAGTTCGATACAATATGTAAGATACCAGCGATACGAAAAGTGTTCAAGTATAAAACCCTTATGTGAATCCTTTTTTAGATAACAGAAAAAGCGTAGCAAGCATTTTCCACGTTCGTGTTTCAGCAGTTAAAAAGTAAATTTGTATGCCGACCGTATCAGCCAAAACCATTTTGGAATAAGTTGATTTTAAATTAATTTAAAACATGAGGCGATCTAAAATTCCATACCGAGTTGAGTGGTGCCCGACGGAGATCCGTTCTGTTTTATTCATAACAAAGTCAAAAGCCAATTGCTAGAGAGGGTTATTTTTTTGGAACTTATACCCTGAGCTTAGTTGGTAGGCTGACTACTTAAAGGGCCTTACATACGGAAAGACCTGTCTTTGCAATCTGTCGTTCCAGACTGATCAAAACGGCTGATTTGCAGTGTATGTAAAGGTTGTTTACGATTTACTTAATTGCAGACGACATCGGAGATCATAAAATATCATGCAATCTTGAATACCGTAAAGATTATTTAACGTATGTGATGTCATGTTTTTGTCGTGCGGTCTAATTAGGTAAATAAGCGATCACAGTGACTAATCTTTTTTGTGTGAGTGGCCAATCTAGAATCTCAAATTATAAAACGGTTCTCGATCAACTCAGAAAGAAACAACAACAACATTTTTTTTCAACCATATATCTTATTCAGAAATGATATCCAAATACCAAATTGTTCCAATAATATCATAGTATAAAAAGGGAACAATTTAATGCATAATTCAATTCGAATGAAAACCGTATAAAA